ATCAGCTGACACTACAATTTAGGATGTCAGACTGTCCTCATGGTATTGCTGATTTGATTATGGTCAAGAGGCTGATGTGTCTCTCGTGTGCATAGTTACACTTGACATTGATGGGTATAAAACAGTTAACAGGGCTTAGCGTACCCATAGAATCTGAATGTTCTGGGTCCCCTTCAGTGTTCACATAAACTATAAACCTAATTTTGAAATATGACCTTCTTCAAAATAAGTAACGATTTCTGAATTTCAAAGTCATCTGTGGTTCTAAAAAGAGTCCCTGAATACCATTTCAGCTTCTGAAATAGTAAAGTTTCAGAAATGCTGAAGTCAAAAAAACCATTAAAAAGGACTTTAAAATTATACATGTTTAGAGACAGATGCAGTCCAGAAAACAGCTAGGATCACTTCTCAGTGATGGCTTCATGTGAACAGAAAGAAGAATTACTCATCTATACTGTCAAAAAAAAAAAAAATGTTCTTCAAACCAGAAACGATGCCCCATTCTAAAAGCCCAGCTCTAAATAAATCTTACTGATGTTTTTGGTTTAAAGGTGAACTCAAGCAAACCTATTATTGAAAATCTGGTTCCTGGTGCCCAGTACCAGGTTGTGATGTACCTAAGGAAAGGCCCTTTGATTGGACCACCTTCAGATCCTGTGACATTTGCCATCGGTAAGTGGCTAGCCGTAGAATAATGACTTCTATATCAGAATCGTGTTTGGAGGGATGCAACATTGCAAGCTCAAATAATTCTCATCATACATGGAAAGCCTCTACTGGCTCACCCACTATTCTGCCTTTAGAGTTAAGAAATAGCAGGATTGTACATTTGGAAGACAACCTTAGCATTTACTAGTTGGGGTAAAAACATCAGAGACAAACACATATTTACTCAGTTTTCAATGGTTGTTCAGAAGAGGGAAGCTGGGTGCAGTGTCACGGGCCTGTTGTTCCAGCTACTCCAGAGGATAAGGTGGGAGGATTGCATGTGCCCAGGAGCTCAAATCCAGCCTATGTAACATACTGAGATCCTGTCTTTTAAAAAGAAAAAAAAATGTATCTGAAGAGTGAAAGGCTGGTTATTAAGTAGAAGTTCAAGGCCATTGCTAAGATACTAACCATTCCTTTTGACTTTGTTTTTTTATCCCCCCCCCCTTTATTCATAGTTCCCACTGGAATAAAGGATTTAATGCTCTATCCCTTGGGTCCTACAGCAGTGGTTCTGAGCTGGACCAGACCTTACTTAGGAGTGTTCAGAAAATATGTGGTTGAAATGTTTTATTTCAACCCCACGACAATGACATCAGAGTGGACAACCTACTATGAAATCGCAGCTACCGTCTCCCTAACTGCATCCGTGGTAATCTCCCCTCAACAAGCTGTCATGCTTTCCTTTGGAAGCAGACCTGCCTTTATGTACCAAATGTGTCAGAAAAAGTTATCTGTAAGCCAGATCACTTTGTAAATACACGTGGGTAATACTACTTTCGAGGTTTTCTAGCTGATTTTGATTTTAGGTGTTGGGGTTCTTTTCATGACCTCCTGAAAGTATCTCTACTCCAAAAATATTATTTCCCACCTTGGTCTTTTGTGTCCTTGCTTATTTTTCTTTCTCATGCAGAGAATAGGTAATCTGTTGCCAGCGTGGTACTACAACTTTCGGGTTACCATGGTGACATGGGGGGATCCAGAATTAAGCTGTTGTGACAGCTCCACCATCAGCTTCATAACAGGTGAGTGTCGTGTGTGGGTAACAGCGGGGCCACAACTCCAGAAAGTGCCAATTATTCACCCAGAAATGATAGAGCATCAATTTTATGCAAGATAATCTGCTTGATTTTGACTGTTCATTATTTGTTTAGCTGATAATGCATGAAAAGTAAAACATCATTTTTATTTTGAGGTACCGCCTTTGACTTATTTTTATTCTGAGTCCCTGACCTTGACTCAGTGCCTCCACTTCGGATTGATTAGCCATGTTGCCAGCAGAACATTCAGTATCACACTGCACACTCAATCGATTTTACCCACTTGATGGTTCTACTTGTTAGACTGCCTCCATTTCCTTATTAATTAAGCCATTTTTAAAGTCACAGGCTTTAGAGTTCATTGCAGGAGTTAAAAATAGCCTTTGTCTTTAGATACCAACTATACAAAAAAAAAA